CCACACAAGTACTCGCTGTGTCGGCACAGTTTGAGTGACCACTTGTGTCCCACAGTGTGTGCACATCATATTCATGGGATACGGACTCATCTGTGCGGCCATAACAGTAGTGCCCGACTGGGGATTCGCTTTGGTTTGTGCCATAGATTTGGGATTGTGTTTAGTTAACAGACAAAGAAGAGACACAATTTGATAAATTAACTGTTATTTACAAAATCTATAAACAAATTAATCCAATTCTAACGACTTTTTGTTTTAAATTCTGAATAATAATGTTAAGTACGAATAACAACTGTCGACAGAAATGGGGACAAACGATATTTTAATTGTTACCATTTTTAAATACGAGACGAATGTTATTTAACAATAAAGTCACGCCTTTGAGATCGGATTAAAATAAATCAATCAAAATTGAATTAATACTAAATGTCATGTTTATTAACAATAATATTGTCAACAATATTACAGAATAAATACATCAATAAAATCAATATAAAATGATATCCAGTCCACGGTTTAGTCGATATTTCGTGAATCAATTGAATCGATGGGAAACCAGGGGTGAGAACAGACTTTATGAATATCAATGCGTTTAACATAATTGGGTTCCAAGAGTTGACGGATTAGATTCTTGAGATCATCGGTGATGTCTTTCTCGACGCTGTCTTTGAGTTTATATTTTCTGTTGGTTTGGTTTTCATACATTTTCTTACGGTTTGATTTGTCGTTGCCTATGAGAAACAATTAGTATTACTTCTCTGACTGCGGGTCTGTGGTCTGTAGCCGAAACTTGCCTAGCATTTCGTGAAATAACTGTTAAAGACCGCCTAATATTCTTCCTCACGGTGTTTTACTGTCCGATTTTTGCGATTGTCTGGTATTGGAGTCAATGGACACAAAACGACTGAAACCAAAGTCGGTTAGCATTGGATTCCAGTGCCGATCGAGTAGTATATTATCTAATTTGATGTCTCTGTGGGCAACCATTGACTCGTGTAGAAACCTGACGGCTCTGGCGATGGGACAGAACCAACACTTTGCCTGCCATTCACTGATACCGTCGTGTTTGCGGACATAAGAGCCGACTGTGCCGTTGGGCATAAAGTCCATTACAATAAACACTTTATGTTTAGTCCTAAACAGATCCCTAACCGCAACACAATTCACTTGTTTTAAGTTCTTGACAATTGATATCTCGCGTTTCAGATCGTCCTCCAGTTTGCCATCGCTTCCCGACCGCACAAAACGCAAGTGAAATTAGTGAAATGTGCGTTTGTCAAATAACAAAAAGTAACAGAACATATGGAAACGGACAGGAGGACTCAGGTCAAAGTGTTTCAAAAGTATCGGAGAGAAACTGTTGTGATCCAGACCTTCTGGTTTTTCAGTCATATCTTTTGGTTTTCAGTTATTTAGTTTGAAATAATATTTTTGAGTGTTTTATAAAGTATTTCATTTGAATTACTGTTAATTCCGTTAACTTTGTTTTATTTTGAATATAATTGACATTTAATTCAATTATTATTTAGTGAGTATTAAATCTATTCAATTGTTATTATAAATTGTGTTTTTGCTAATTGTTTTAAAGAATTCAATGAATTTCAAATTACTTTTCATTAAAAGGATTTTTATAGTCTTTGTGTCAAATAGTGTTTAATCATAAAATTACGGCATTTTTATAAAAGTAAAACCATATTTTTATTTAATTGAATATAAAATATATTTTCTTTTTATACAAAACCCGATTAAAGATTAAATACATTTCAATACAATACATGAAAATAATGTACAAAATCAAAGATTTCCAAATCGTGTTTTGCGTTCACTTTAATCACTTTACACGCAAACAGTTTATTGTTTTTCATTGTCTTGTATACCTTTGCCTGTCCTCCTGAGTCCAGTTTCACAAAGTTTTCATAGCCTCTCTTTGACAACACGTCCAGACCTTCTGGCTTTTCAGTCATATCTTTTGATTTTCAGTTATTGAGTTATTATATTTAGTTTGAAATAATATTTTTGAGTGTTTTATAAAGTATTTCATTTGAATTACTGTTAATTCCGTTAACTTTATTTTGAATATAATTGACATTTCATTCAATTATTATTTGGTGAGTATTAAATCTATTCAATTGTTATTATAAATTTGTATTTTCTATTAATTTAAAGAACTCAATGAATTTCAAATTACTTTTCATTAACAGGATTTTTATAGTCTTTGTGTCAAATACAGTAGTGTTTAATCATAAAATTACGGCATTTTTATAGAAGTAAAACCATATTTTTATTTAATTGAATATAAAATATATTTTCTTTTTATACAAAACCCGATTAAAGATTAAATACATTTCAATACAATACATGAAAATAATGTACAAAATCAAAGATTTCCAAAAATTACATACAATTAAACGATGTTTTAATTAAATAATGAAAAGTATATTTAAAATATAATTGAATTAAGTTTTGAAATAAAATATGAAAACAAAGCGCAAAGAATTAGAAGATTTCAGACAAAAGCAAATCAATTGTTTTTGGGTTTATTGGACCGCGATTTTGGTCGTGAGCTTCTGGGCCTTGTGTTAGTGGCTTTAGGGGCCGGGTCTACGATTTTGGCCGATACTTGAACGCAGGCCACACTCTGTCCGGTCGGGTCCGTCAAACTGTACTTCACTTTAATGGATATCTTAAACAACAAAAATTATTAATTATTAAATTTCATAAAAAGTATGTAAACCTCGACATACCGGTGGGTAAAAAGGCTTCACTTCAAAGGCAGCCTTAAACTGATAACTGTTTCCTTTCTTGAGAGGACAGTCGGGTATAATATTACCAGAACTGCAAGGATCAGCTCTTTGCTCCGGAAACGGCAGCTCTCGTCCTCTAATCACACCTTTGATTACTTCGGATAATTTGTTTGTGTTTAGAGCTATTGGGAGCGAAACAAAGCAAAACATTCATCATTTGTTTAATTACA